CTGCTCCATCTGAAAGCACGTGATGGAGATTTACTACTGATTACAAAACCGGCTTTACTGACAAGATGCGCATGATAATCGCGCTCGATTAATCGTGCAGCCCTAGTATGAGGTATGACAGCCTTAGTGATTGATGGTCATTACCTTGGTGTGAGGGGGCTGAGTGTGGCCGTGCCCCCCAGCAGACATCGGCCACTCTTGGGTTTGTTTTGCACCTGTTTGGACAACAGTGAGCCACCAGTGCCCAGTGACACGGAGTCTGGCGAGATGACGGAGGAGTCGATGTAAGACACAGAGGAGTCCGTATTCAGGGAGTACTTAGAGTTAGAAGATTCTAGATTGAGCCGGTTTAGCTCCTTTAGAGAGAGACGAATGACAATGCCAAGATATGAAGTAGAAGATAATCCAAATTCACAACGTTTAATATGTCCCCAAACAATACCTCATATACTTCATGTTCATACACATTTCCCTATAAAACACATCAAAATGCATGAAAAACCAAAGGAAGGACATACCAAAGTGTCCTGTGGGGTCTCCATTAGGACAGTGTCAACTTGTCTGTGTCCCATATTGTTACTAGGCGTGTGCGCAGGGCTGATGGGAGGAGGAGGGACGACTCCTCCACTGAAATTCTGCAAGGAGGTCAATCTAAAGATCTGCTCTGGATCCGGTCGCTCCCCTGTAGCACAAAGAGCACAGTTTAAAATCACATTATATCTTCTCAGGGAGTCTTGTAACTGCACAGCTTGGATGAGGTTCATATGATGACCCTAATTAATAACGACAAATGAACTCACCGATTTGACATAAAGACTCAAATGGAGACCATAAGAAAGGGTTCTCGTTCATGCTTTTTTGGTAACATTCAGCTCCTTTTGCTAACCGATCTGTTTTGCTGCAGGGACAAAGAAAGGAGCATTAGTTTTGTAAACAATCATCAAAATTTTAGCCACTGAAAAGTTTTGGTTTTCTGCCAAAATATGCAAAAGGCTGAAAAATATGAGCAGAAACCACAACTTCAACATCCTACAACAATTTCAGAAAAGACAATTTAGTCCTAGTTGTGTAGTAAAGTCCACATCCCCCAAAAGTGATTGTTCTCTTGATTATTAGCACATGAATAAAGAGGGCAAAGGCTGTGAGGCTATTTTCCCAATGTAAGGGAAGTTTTATGATTATAGGTATTAAATTGTATTATTATAGGTATTATTTGCTTTACTCTA